CACTATTATGGAACAACGAAAATTCGACCGAACATGAAGTATATAAAAAATTCTAAAACCATAAAAAAGAAACAATCTATATATGTACTGGTCGCGCAACGCGCGACACGTAAAAGACTAGTCCTCATAATATGGCACAAGAGTTTGTTTTGTCACCGAAAAAAAAAAAAAAGGGAAGAAGAGAACTTTCTGAATTTTGTAGTTTTTTTATTTATAAAATTGTAATAAGTTGAACTGGTTTTTTTTTTAAAGGAAAATGCGGATGTTTTTGTTGTTGGACAAGAAAAAGAAATTGTTGAATTTCTGGTGGCATGTTTCACTTTTTAACTAGCATTATATTTTCTAGATTCTTTCTTTTTCATTATCGTCAATTTTTTTATTATTTTTAAAAAGCTATTTCGAATTGACAATTCTTTCAGCTTTGTGTCAATAATGGATTAGGTCAAAATGGCTCATCTGAATTCCGGTCCTTCTTAATTGTGGTAAAGTTTCCGAAAATCAATACATCAATGTACCAATGCATCTTGGGTCGTATTACTTAAACAACCTCTTTGTATTGATATACAGGGGTAAGGCTGCGTACATCTTGACCCTTCAGATCCCAACCGAGTTGGGAATATACTGGGTATATTGTTGTTGTTGTTGTATTTTGAATTGAAATAATACTAAGTATCCGGAGCTCCCTAGTTAGGGAGATCCGGGACGTGCGCGTATAATACACGATTAAAAAGACGCGTCAACAATTATTTTAATTCACAATCCCTTTTATCCCCAATTTCTCTCTCCTCCTCTCTCTCCAAACATGATTTCCTCCTCTTGAAACATCTGTCCGCCGAGCTTCCTATTTTAAATCTACAAATCTTTCTCATTGATTACTGGCATCGAAGGATCTATAATTTTTGTTCCAGTTACAATAGTAAAATTGAATACAAATGACATCTAATTTGGATTGAGTAGATTAACTGTTCTGAAGGGAAGTCTATTAATATTATTCTGTATTCAAGCAAAGATGAGTTCTATGAAGAATCAAAGAAAGAAAGCAGTGCTAACTCAGAAGAAGTGTATGATAAAAGTCTCGTTATTGCTGGAGATGAATTTCTACATCTTTATGATTTCTCCTCTTCTATTGAACTTTTTGTTTATAATTGAACAAATTTCAATATTCTGAATGAAATTCTTTTAGTCGCAGATGTTCTTGATGAATTTTTATGGACTATTAGTGCCATTGCTATTTATTTCTTTTTGTTTAGGGTGAAGTTTTGTGGTCTTTGTATGGATGAACAATATTGTAATCATACATGATTTTTTTCAGAATGAAGGACTTTGAATTTAATACTGTAGTTTTACAGGATGCATATTGTACCTTGTTTAGTGAACAACAAAATGATTTTAATGAATTTTTAAGTTACATTGGTGCTCTGCACACTGAATACGTTAACAAAATTTTATTAACCACATAAGATGCACTCAGTAGTTATGCAGGATGAACAATCAAACCCTGGCAGTGAACAATGACAGCGTCAGAATGAATATTGAAGTGTAAGAGGGTTTATATAGATTTGGTTACATAAAATGCACTCGGTAGTTTAGCAGGATGAACAACGGAAACGTGAAAATGAACAATAAAAGAATGGAAATGAACATAGAGTATAAGATGGTATACAATGATTAAGTTATATTTTCTTTAATTTAATTAGACTTAGAGTTTAGGGTTTGGGGGGCGGGGGGTTAAGCATTCCAATTAGGTTAGGGTCTAGTGTCAGACTTTTACATAGTTAAGATATAAATTTTTTAAATTCAACTAGGCCTAACCGAGACCCTAGCCTAAATGAATTTAAAAAAATTTAATCTGAATAAAAAGTTTATTGTGTTTAGGCGTTTAGGGGGGAGGGGTTTAAGCATTCCAATTAGTGTCAAAGTCACCTTGGGCTCCACACTCAAAATCAATTGGCTATGAGTGGGTTGACCTTTGGCACTTATAAACAGGTAACAGATTATCACGACACTGATGAGGGATTCTTTGTTCCAACACCCTCCCTCAAGTCCAATTGGGTATTTGGCCCATTGGGATTGCATAATACAACATAATTCACCAGATATACTGATGGGTCAGTCAACAAGCCCGTACACATGGGTACATACTCCGGATATACTGCCGGGGCAGTACACAAGTCCACCTGTGTGCATGGAAGCGATTGATGCAAGTCCAAGGCACACGGGTCCAAGCCCGCGCACGCGGGTCCATAGTTATCACAGGTCCAAAGATCGTGGGTTCTGATACCATGTCAAAGTCACCTTGGGCTCCACACTCAAAACCAATTGGCTATGAGTGGGTTGGCCTTTGGCACTTATAAACAGGTGACAGATCCTTCATGACATCGATGTGGGATTCTTTGTCTCAACAATTAGGTTAGGGTCTAGTGTTGGACGTTTACGTGGTTAACTTATAAATTTTAAAAATTCAATTAGGTTAGGGTCTCGTTTCGAGACCCTAGCCTAATTGAATTAAAAAAAAACTTTAAACTGAATGAAAAGCATACTGTGTTTAGGCGTTTAGGAGGGGGGTGGGGGTTAAGCATTCCAATTAGGTTAGGGTCTAGTGTTAGACGTTTATGCGGTTAACTAGTAGATTTTTTCTAATTCAATTAGGCTACGGTCTTGGAACTTATAAATTTTTTTAATTCAATTAGGCTAGGGGTCTTGAATTAAAGAAAATTTAAACTGAATAACAAACATACTATTTTAGGTGTTTAGGGAGAGGGGAGGATTTAAACATTCCAAATAGGTTATGGTCTAGTGTTAGACGTTAAACGGTTAACTTATAAATTCTTTTAATTCAATTAGGCTAGGGTCTCGTCCTAACCTAATTGGATTAAAAAAATTTAAACCGAATAAAAGGCATACTGTGTTTAGGTGTTTAGGGGGGGGGGTTTAAGTATTCCAATTAGATTAGGGTCTAGTGTCGGACGTTAGACGGTTACTTATAATACATTTCAGTGCTTGTATTGTTCATTTCCATGCTCGTATTTTTCATCCTGAGTGCTTTGTGTAAGGAGTGACTGAAATTGCAGTGAAAAGTTATTTTTAAAGATTATTAAAACTAAAATACAAAAATTAAAATCAGAAGGGAAAAAAAAACATATACTTGCATTGAACAACCATATACTTGCTTTGAACATATACTACAATATTTTACATCTCCAGCACCTATTGTTCATTTCCATACCATCATTGCTCATCCTGTGAAACTTCAAAGCTCATCTCAGGAACTGTGATGTTCATGTTGCACATCTTGGGCTGCATTTTTTTTAGACGGAAAAAAAAACATATAGTAACAAAATTACATAAAAAATAAATCTTGTTTACATACCAAGTAGAAATGTTCGCAAAAAAAAAAAAATTGTTTAAAAAAAATAGAATTAATTACCTTAAAAGTCCCAAAAAATTACCAACTATATTCATTCAAAACTAAAAAGTTCAAACGTCCTTAAGTGCTCCCAGAAAGTTTGGTATTGTTTTTTTTTTTTTTCACTTTTCCGTAACGGTTCCGTCAAAATGTGGACGGCCAACCGTCATAGAACGTGCTTGTCACGTGTGTTGACCAAGGGTATGGACCGTCCACAAAAAAGGTTGACCTCCCTCTCCTCGACATGTGACTTGTACGTGTTTTCCGCCAATCGGGAAAGTTCAAAATTCAAAATTTGAATTTTAAATTTCAATTGAGCTGCCAAAATTCCGGCGGTTTGACCACCGGTCCATCGGCGGTTTATTTTTGACCACCGGTCTAACCAACTCAGTTCAATGCAAAAGGGTCTTTTCGTCGGTAATTGTCGGAATATTTGCCGGCCACCGGTGACGGGTACATCAGAGATGTTTCCGTTTATGGGGAAAAAAACATTTAAATGCCAGAATTTGCGGGCCAAATTTTTTATTATGAGCCCAACCCAAATATATTAATTTATTATGAGCCTGAGCCCAATCCCATTATAATAGTTTCTGGGCCAAATATTATTTTTTATTGTATAAAGGCGAAGCCTAATCCCAAGACATATATTACTAATCCCTACATCCCAATAATTCACCAAGTAAAAAATTCGTAGAGTAAAAAAAGAAAAGGGCCGTGGGGGAGAGAGTATCGAGAGAGAGTGGTACTTTGGGGATTAGAGTTTTCTGAAATCGACTCATCAAATTCAAGCAACTTTCATCCAAAAGATTAGTCTTTTCTATGAAATATGGGTTAGGAATTGGAGGGTTTGGAGTGAATTTCGGTTTTCTCTTCGGATTGACAGCAAAGGGGGTTAGGGTTTCCTGAAAGGATGTCAAAGGGGGTGGGGTGGTCGTCGGATTTGTCGCCAGAGTTTAAATCATCACCGGTCAGGTTTTAAAGTGAAGGTATAAGTGCGTCGGCTTGGGCCACCATCATTGAAGATGTGGAGGGGTGAGGATTACATTCGTCCTGATAATGAAGTCTCGGAAATTCAGAAATACGGTAAGTAATTCCTACTGATTTTGGGTTTTAATCTAATATTCATATTATGTTCTGGGTTTTCCAATTGTTTAATGTAAAAGTTGGGTTAGGGTTTGCTCTTTGTTGGGCAGTGAGCATCTTGTCATGTTGGGAAGGGACAACTGGTTCCCCCGAAAAAATAAACTATGTATGCTTGAATAAAATAGAACATGTGCCTTGATTTTTAGTTTAGTTGCACTTTTTATCTTATTTTATTAGGGTTTGTAAAACTGTGTTATACTCATGGTTTTATTGTTGACATGAATATCTTAGTCAAATAGCTATAATTTGCTTCTTCTTTTTTTTGGTTATTTCATGATTTTAGTTTATTAATTTTTGGATTTTTATTGTTATTTCAGGTGAAGGATCTAGCCTAATTACTATCAAAATTCATCACAGTGGGGGGTTTTGTGACAAACAAGACTGGAAAATTGGGTTATTTTCAAGTGGAGGTTGATTATTTTGATGAAAGGTAAGGTCAGAGGAGCTTAATATGGAAATGTGTAACTCCTTCATTGATTGTTTAGGGTTCTGCAGGCCTCACAAGCTATTTTATGTAGACCCTAATGTTTCAGAATTTGACGATATTAGAAGATTAACTTCAGAGGAAGATTTGAAATCCCTGGTAGAACTTATGTATGCACAGAAGAAGAGAGCTATTGTTATGTATAGGATTGGTCTTAATGAATATGATCCACTACCAGGACCGAGACCCAAACGTCCTGCATATTTTGATGAAGGTGAAGAGACTGATGCTGATGATGAAGATTATGAACCTGAGAGTGATTACAGTTTGTTAGATTCTAATGATGAAAGCATTTGCAAATATGCCAACGAGTCAATGCATTCTTCCAATTGGGCAAGTTTGAGAATGCCGTCTGAGTTTGTCCCTTATGCACATGTAGATGCTGGTGCTGGAGATTCAGAGTCTGACTATGCTTCTTGTGATAACTTGCATGAAGTTCAGGGTGGTGATGATGAGGAGCATGTAGAAGTCAAGAAATTCTGGGAGTTCAACCCAAAGAAAGAGATGCACAACCCAACTTTTGGTGTTGATCAGAGATTCGGAGATAAGTGGATATTAACTAAAAGCCATCAGAACACATGCTATTGTGGATAGGATGTGAGTACCGCCTATTTGGCGCCCTCAGTCGGGACAAACTTAGCATGTATGAATGCTAAAAGTCATTTTGGGAATCCTTATAAAGTGAATGGCTAGTAATCACTTAAAATTGAACATGACAAAATAATACATTAATTAGGAAAATAAATTATATGATTGAATTATAGTAGGATTCATTTGGACTTGTACTTCTAGAAATTAATTAAATTATTAATTATATGATCAAAACATTAAAGCTAAAAAAAAAAAGAAAGAAAAACTGATAGCAATCTCGTAGATGAAGCAAATTTCGTTAATGCAACCATCAAACAAGAAAGTACGAAGATAAGTTGTCTATCCCATGAAACTCAAAAGAGTGCGGAAAATTCACAGTAAGACGATCATTTATCTAAGGATTTATATCTCATAACTCAAATCAAGCAAAGAATACATAATCTATGAAAGATTCAAATTAAACAACAACCCACACTAAGAATAGTAAGGACACCATTCAATATACTCGATCAGTCATCATTCAAGAGACTCAAGAAAGGTAGGAGCAAACAATGCTCAACTATGAAGGAATACTATTGATTAGTAATCTCCATAACCAACAAAGATATGCAACACATACACTATCTCAAAATGCTTATGCCAAAGCACAACTCATCCAACAAAAAGTAGGACAAACCCCACAAAGGAACTCATGAACACACACATCATGAATTCAAAAACCATAGTCAAAAGAAAGGCTCAACTCTCGAACTACTAGAAGTAGTATGAAAATAAGAAGTTTAGTTTTAAAACAATTCTATCAAGAAGCATACTTGAAAAAGAATGGTTTCTGCAAGATCAAAAGATCCAAGACAAGATGAAAACCCTCTTGGTTAAATCATACTTGACACGAAAAATGGACACACTATTTAACAAAAATTCCCCACTAGAAAAACTCTCATTAGAGAAGACTCAAAATGACCACACATGGGTGCTTTAACTTTCGGCTATACCCCCCTATTTATAGGCTAGCAATTTCGGCAAAAGCACCAAAAAGAAGACCAACTAGGACTCTCTATTCTTATCTCACGCAGGAGTAGAAATAGAAGAGTATTTGATCTCTTTGACTCTATCTAAAATCTAGGAAACCTTATCATATACAATTTGGAAAGTGGTTTTTAGAAAGTATTCTAAAAGTTGTTGGACATTTTGGAAAGTTGTAATTTCCAAGTTTCCTTTTTAAAGTGAGTCAAAAGTAATTTTTTAAATTTTAACTATGTGGTAAAAGTTAAATTTCGAATTTTTGCTGATTTATTGCATGTGTGTGCGTGTGTTTTATGTTGAGTTCTAAGCCTAGTTGCTTTTGAATTTTAGAGTCATAGTATAGCCGAATTTTTGAGCTAAAAATTAGGATTTCCTAGTCCTAGTTGAACTTGAATTTTGGTTGTCTATTTGTGTTACACTAAGTTCTATTCGGTCTTGTATTTGTGTGTTCACATGGCCAAAAATTTTATCCCTAAAATTAAGGTCATTGAGTCCAAATTGTGTTATGATTTGAGACCTATTCGGTCTTGGATTTTAGTGTTCACATTGGCCGAATTTTTCAGCCATTATTTCGTAATGGTAATACAATTTTATTGTGTTTTTTATTTGAATCCTACTTGGATTTAAATACTAATTTTTGCATGAGTTAAATTATAATTTCAGTGAGATTATAATTAGAGTTTTAAAGTTAGTCTATTTTCGAAAACTATTGAGATAAGGAAGTCTTATCCTATTCTGAAAATTTTTGAATCTTTTATACAATTGTGCTTGTGTTTTGGCCGAGTTTTTGAGTCCTATTTGTAGTAGAGGGTCGGATTTTTGTCTCTAAATAATAGGGATGAGTCTTTCATTGTTTTATGACATAGTTCATAAGTTGTGTCCAAAAGGGATTATGATTACCTAAGTTTTAGGACTCTATCCTTTTATATATATGTGATGGCCGAATTTTTTCTTCCTTATTCCATCTTGTCGACTGAAATTTTATCAATTAAGGGGGAAATATTTTTGAGAAAATTTAGGTCCTATCTTGTAGGAGTTTTCTTGCACAAAAAGACTTGCATTGCCTATAAATAGGGGTGCTGTTTTTCGAAAATTCTCACACCACTCTACTCCATTCTTCTTCTTCTTCTTGCTGCCGAGATCACAAGGGTATAAATAAGAGAAGCACTCTTCTCTTTATTCTGAATTTTTGAGAGTTAGTGTTCTTAAAAGCACAAGAGAGTTTTTGTTTTGGGGAGAGCATTATTCGAACCTTCCTTTGGTTCTTGGGGGGTTTCGACCGAACCATTCATTGGTTCAAGGGTTCACGGAGTTTTTGTGTAGTCACAAAGGCACATTACTTCTTTTGTTGGTGGTTTCTTAGAGCTGTTGAGCAAAGATGTCATCCGGAGTTGCTGGTTGTACTCAAGTTGCTTCAAAGAGTGTAGAGGGTCGCATGGAGGCTCAAGTGCAGCTCATGAAGAGTCAAATTGACTACTTGTATGATGCTTTGGCCGAGGTGAAGGAGGCAAACCGAGACTTGTCTCAATTGCTTTCAAATCAGCAAGATAAAGCTACGTGCTTTGAATTGGTGGAAGCTTGTTTCAAATATCTATTCGCATCATTGGTATCGTAATTTGGATGATTGGCATGATTTGAAGAATGCTTTGTGAGAAAGATATGCTGGTACTAACACCTTTAATGAAGCAAAAGTGAAGTTACTCAATTGTAAGCAGAATGGTAGATCCGTTCAATCTTACTTTGAGGAATTAGAAGGCGTGTTCTTGAGTTTGGGTGTGGATGAGAATGACTACATGTTGACTGAACGTTTCCACTACGGCTTGGACAAGGGGTATAAACAACACCCAAAGACGACGTCTTTCCTTTCTGTGCATTGGATCGAGTAGTGTGCAAGAATAGTACCTTTTCTTAAGTCTAAAGTTTAGGTAATTTTAGGGGTTTTGCCTTGGAGAGCAAGAGAATCTTTCCTATAAATAGGTGGCCGAATTGTCTTAAAAAAAGTTGAAAATTATGAGTCAATAAAATTGAGTTGTAACCTTTATGGTTTTAATGAAATATCATCAATGGATGGTTTTCTGACAATGAGCGTTTCTTGTTGTTTTGGAAGAGTTGAAGGTTTAGTAAATTTTTTCTTTCTTAGAGCTTAACATGTGACTTGGTTCTTTGAGTAAACCATTTTATCATGTTTTCTGTGTTGCATGATTTAATTGTTTTAAAACTAATTTTCTTATGATCTTTTGATATGATGGCCAATTGGTTAAGCATGTTAGATTCCTTGGTTACTTCGAGTTTATTGTGTCCTAGGATTGAAGGATACCTTGTTGGTTTATCTATTTGATATAGATGAGTTTGCATGGAAATAGCATGATGAATAATGTGTTTTGTGTGCTTATTGCCTTGGTTATGAATGTGTCATATCCAATATTGATACGAATCTTGAGGCAAGATGATTGAATTACCTCAAACGCGGAAGCTTTTCTTTCCCAAGACTTGATAACTTGCCAAACCAATGGAGAAGACTCCAAAAACGTGAAAGAAGAATAAGAAACGATGCAAACCACAAAAATTTGCTCCAAAAAGGATGGATTGGCAAGAAGATGATGGAATGTGTTTTTGGCTAGTAACCCGATTAGAATACCTCTTTAACAACCCCACCCCTTCGATTTATGGGCAGAATGGCTAGCTAAAAGGCTCCAATGAACAGCTAACAAAGCTCCACATGTGAAGAACACTTAAAATCAAGCGCACGCTTGCAACAAAGCACAAAATAATTCGTGCAATGTACTATTCTTCACAAAGAATAGAACAACAAAGAGTTTCCTCTCTTTTTGTATTGAAAAATCAATAATAATCAAAGACATATGTTTTTGGTCGACCAAAGCCCCTTTATATATGCAAAGGTTGGCTTGGACAAAAAGAAACCCGAATACAAGTTCAAATCGGATTTTTCTACCTAAGTTTCCTAATATAAATTTAAATATTAATTAAATAAATAATTACACATGTCACAATTATTTAAAACCAAATATAATCTTCTAGAGGTAAAGGAAAGTCGGCCATGAGTGATAAATTACCAAAAAATCCTTTTCCAAATCGAAATAGGAGAGCTTTAAAAATTCTGCCAGCAGTCGTCGACCTTTCTGTCGACAGGCAAAATGCTCGACGCGCGACTGTCGACTTCCTTGTTGACTGACCTTCTGCTCGATGCCCTCATGTTGACCTTGGTGTCAACCAACTGCCTACTCGATGCCAGTTTGTCAACTTTGTTGTTGACCAACAGCTTACTCGACGCCATGCTGTCAACTTTGTTGTAAACTTTTTCACCTCGACCAAGAGCTTGACATGCACTAAAAGTTTCAATTCCACTCAAAGATAAACATGATACCCATGGAATTGAATCCACATTGAGAGTTTGAACATCCATGAACAAGTTATTGAGCGATTCATTTATTTTTTTCCTTTGAGACCTCATCATAGGACCTCCAATATTAGCTAATAGATCTTGAATCACTCTTTGAGCTTGAACTTGATTATTAGGTTGAACAACGACTTGTCTTTGAGCTTGATAACCTTGGATGTCCACATCATTCTTTTTTATTGATTTCTTCTTCTCGGCTAAATCATAGTTGCGCACCTTGTCATCTTTCTCGTCTATCTCCTTTGCTTGACCATCATGTCGACGTGATTCTTCTGACTTCATTGTCGACTTGATTCTAGCTTGACGCGAACCATATTTTGGTTTCAATCTTCCATCATCCTTGATTCCAACTTCAATATAATACCATACACCCCCTATTAGATCATCATAGTTAGGTATGACACTCAACGGGCCATCCAGGATCGCATCATTCCTCCTTTCCTCGAAAGGATTCGTCCTCGAATCGTGTTTCATGTTATTCCAAAGGAACAAATTCTTCATGGTCATCTTATGCTTCTTCACAAACCTCCACTGAACAACAACTATCCAGACTTTTGTGAAA